AAAAAAAAAAAAAAATCCTCAAAGGAAATAAAAAAAAATAAAAAGAAGAGTTGCCAGAAAGGGAGTTAAATAAAATGGAGGCAAGTAAAAAAATCAAAGAAAGAATGCAGAGTAATGGTTATAAGGAAGCTGAAACAGCTGGATGACAAATACACACAACTTAAAGAGAATTATAAGAAGCTGAATGAGAATGTTGCCAACACGAAAAAGAACCAAGAGGATATGAAGAATGACATAGCTGCAATAAACAACACAATGGAAGGCTTAAACAGTATACTATAAGAGGCTGAAGATCACATCAGAAAAGGTAGGAAAAAAACACAAACACAGCAGCAACTGGAAAGAAAATTTAAAAAGAAAGAGGAGAGCCTACGGGAGATTTGTGACAATACAAAATGAAACAAAATCTTCATAATAGGAATAGAAGAAGGAGAATAAGAGAAGCAATAAATAGAAAACCTATTTGAAGAAATAATGACAGAAAACTTCCCTGATATTGGCAAGAAAAAAAGAATACACAAGTCCAAGAAGCACATAGAGTACCAAACAAGCTGAAACCCAAAAGACCAACACCAAGACACATCATCATTAAACTGGCAAACACCAACGACAAAGTAAAATCTTAGTGGCTAACAGAGAGATATAGAAAGTTACCTACAAGGGATCTTTTATTAGAATATCAACTGATTTCTCAACAGAAACACACTAGATCAGAAGGGAATGGAATGAAATATGCAAAGTGATGCAAAGCAAGGGACTGAATCCAAGAATATTATACCTAGCAAGGCTATCATTCAAAATTGAAGGTGGAATCAGGGGTTTCACAGACAAAAAAGGGCTAAGAGAGTTTATTTATTACCACCATGCCAGCAATGCAATAAATGCAAAAGGGACTGCTGTGAAAAGAAGAAAGAGAAAGGCAATAAACACAAACATTAAGAATAAAAATGACAAATAAGTACTTGTCATTAATAGCATTAAACATAAATGGATTAAATGCTTTAATCAAAAGACTTAGGGTAGATAAAGGGATAAGAAAACATGACCCATATATTTGCTGTTTTCAAGAGACCCACCTCAGAACAAAGGATTCACACAGACTGAAAGTGAAGGGATGGTAAAATTTTTCAGGTAAATGGAAATGAGAATAAAGCTGGGGTTGCAATATTTATATCGCACAAAATAGACCTCAAAGTAAAGGCCATAAGAAGAGATATGGAAGGCCACTACATAATACTAAAGGGAGCAATCCAACAAGAAGATATAACTCTGATAAACATATATGAACCTATATAGGAGCACCCAAATACATAAAACAACTTCTGAAGATATAAAGTGAGAGATTGACAGAAATACAATCATAGTATGGCACTTTAATATCCCACTGACATCACTGGAAAAATCCTCTTGACAAAAAATCAGCAAAGAAACAGAAATCCTAAATGACTCACTAGATCAGATGGACTTAATTGACATCTTCAGAATATTTCACCAAAAGCAACAGAATATACATTCTTCTCCAGTGTACATGGGACAACTCCAAAGATATACCAAATATTAGGACATGGGAAAAGTCTTTAAATTCAAGAGCATAGAAATCATAAGAAGCATCTTCTCAGATCACAATGTCATAAAAGTAGAAATCAACTATAGTAAAAATGATGAAAAAAAATCAAACACTTGGAGGCTAAATGGCATGCTATTAAACAATGATTGGTTTACCAAATAATTCAAAGAAGAGATAAAAAGCTTCCTGGAAACAAATGACAATGAAAGTGCAACAATCCAAAATCTTTGGGACACAATAAAAACAGTCCTGAGAGATAAGTTTATAGTTTACAGGCCTACAAAAAAAAAAAAAATAAATAAAATAAAAAAAAATTGGTAAATTATCTAACCTTGCAACTTAAATAATTAGAAAGAGAGCAACAAGAAAATACCATAGTATCCAGAAGGAAGGAAGTAATAAATATCAGAACAGAAATAAATGACATAGAGCCCAAAAAAAGCAATACAAAAGATCAATGGAACCTAGAGCTGGTTTTTTGAAAGGATAAACGAACTTGATGAATCTCTAGCCAGGCTCACCAATAAACAGAGAGGACCCAAATAAACAAAATCAGAAATGAAACTGGTGACGTAACAACTGATATACAAAGGATAGTGAAAAAAAATACTATGAACAACTCTATTCTAATTAGCTGGACAATCTTGAAAAAATGGACACATTCCTAGAAAAATACAAGCTTTCAAAATTAAATCAGGAAGAATCAAAAAACCTGAATAGGCTGATAACTACTGATTAAATTGAAAGAGTAATCAAAAGGCTTCTAGTAAACAAAAGCCCTGGACCAGATGGCCTCAGGGGAGTTTTAGCAAACATTCAAAGAACTAAAACTAATCCTTCTCATACTATCCCAAAAGATTAAAGAGGAAGGCACACTTCCAAGCTCTTTCTATGAAGCAGCATTACCTTAATCCAAAAACCAGATGAAGATACCACAAAGAAAGAGAATTACAGGCCAGTATCCCTGATGAACATAGGTGCTAAATTCCTCTACAAAATTTTAGCAAACTGTATCCAGCATTACATTAGAAAGATTATACAACATGACCAAGTGGGATTATTCCAGGGATGCAAGGCTGGCACAATATCCACAAATCAATATATTTGATACATCACATAAACCAATTGAGAGATAAAAATAACATAATTGTATCAATTGATACAGAAAATGTATTTGACAAAGTCCCAAACCCTTTTCTGATAAAAATGTTCAGCAAAGTGTGAATAGAAGGATTATACCTCAACATAATAAAAGACTTATATGACAAACCTACAGCCAACATCATACTCAATGGGCAAAAACTAAAACCATTTCCCTTAAGAACTGGAACAAGACAGGGATGCCTGCTTTCTCAACTCCTGTTCAACATAGTACTGGAATTACTAGCCAAAGCAATAAGACAAGAACAATTAAAAGGCATCCAAACTGAAAAAGAAGAATTAAAATTGTCATTATTCACAGATGACATGATACTGTGTATAGAAAACTCCTAAAGACTCTATAAAAATTATTATACTTAATAAATGAATTTGGCAATATATCAGGATACAAAATTGATGTCAAGAAACCTATAGGATTTTTATACACCAAGAGTGAAGTTGCAGAAAGAGCAATTAAGAAAACAATCCCATTTACCATCACACCAAAAAAATTAAGATACCTAGGAATAAACTTAACCAAGTAGGTAAAAGACCTCTACTCACAAAACTACAGTATATTGAATAAAGAGATAGAGACAAATATAAACAGATAGAAGTACATATCATGTTCATAGATTGGTAGAATCAAGATGATCAAAATGTCCATACTATCCAAAGCAATCTATAGATTCAATGCACTTCCCATTAAAATACCAACAGCATATTTTACATATCTAGAAAGAATTCTCCAAAAATCCATCTATAATAATAATAATTTTAAAAAAAAACTGAATAGCTGCAGTGGTCCTGAGAAAGAACAACAAAGTAGGATGGATTTTAGTACCAGATATAAAGATATATTACAAAGTCACAGTCCTCAAAACTGCCTGGTACTGGCACAAGAACTGATATATAGACCAATGGAATAGGATAGAGAACCCAGAAATTGACCCAAACACTATGATCAATTAATATTTGACAAAAGAGAAAAGAACATACAATAGTGTCAAGATAGTCTCTTCAATAAATGGTACTGGAAAATTAGGTCAGACACAGGCAAAAAAATGAAACTAGACCACCAACTTACACCATACACAAAAATAAACTCAAAATTGATAAAGGACTTAAACATAAGGCAGGAAACCATAAAAAATATTAGAGAAATTCACAGGCAGCAAAATCTCAGACATATGTCTAAGCAATTCCTTCACTGATACAGCTCCTTGGGCAATGGAAACTAAAGAGAAAATAAATAAATGGGACTACATCAAAATAAAGAGCTTTTGCACAGCAAAAGAAGCCATCAACAAAACAACAAGAAAGCCCACTGCAAGGGAGAACATATTTGCCAACGATATTTCTGATAAGGGTTTAATCTACAACATTCACAGGGAACTCATACAACTTAACAAAAGGAAGACAAACAACTCAATTTTAAAAATGGGCAATGGACCTACATAGATACTTTTAGAAAGAAGATATAAAGAAGATCAACAGACATGAAAACATGCTCAAAGTCATTAATCATCCAAGAGATACAAATCAAAAGGAAAATGAGATACTATCTCAAACATGTCAGAATGGCTATCATCCACAAATCAACAAATGACAAGTGCTTGTGAGGATGCTGAGAAAAAGGAACCCTCATGCACTGCTAGTGGGAATGCAGACTGGTGCAGCCACTGTGCAGAACAGTATGTGGTTTCCTCAAAACACTAAAAATGGAACTTCCATTTGACCCAGTGATCCCACTACTAAAAATATATCCCAAGAAACTAGAAACACCAATCAGAAAGAATAGTTACACCCCTATGTTCATAGCAGCACAATTTACAATAGCTAAGATTTGGAATCAGCCTAGGTTCCCATCAGCAGATGAGTGGATTCTAAAAAACGGTGGGACATCTACACAATGGAATACTATGCTGCCATAAAAAAGAAGGAATTCTTAGCATTTGTAACAGCATGGATGGGTCTGGAGAGCATTATGCTAAGTGAAATAAGGCAGTCAATGAACATTAAATACCACAAATTCTCACTCATTTATGGAGTATAAAGAACATTATAAACTGTTGAACAAAAATAGAGGCAAAGAAGCATGAAATAGACTGTCCAACTAGAGAGGGATGGTAGTGGAGGATTAGGGGTATATGAGATCAATACAAGGACTTGTATGCATGCATATAAGCACAACCAATAGACGCAATACACTGGGCGGGGATGAGGGTAAGTGCTGGGCTTGTAGGAGAGGCAGGGGAGAAGTCAGTGGGGGAAAAAGGAGACATATGCACTCCTATTTGTAATACCTTAAAGAATAAAAATTAAAAAAAAGGAATGATACACAGATTAGCATGGCCCCTGAGCAAGGATGACATACAAATTCATGAAGTGTTCCATATTTTATGTATACATTAGAGCCCTAGTGCATGAAATTCATGTGTGTGTATGGTCCCTAGGCCTGGCCTGTGATCAGTGCCATCTTCCCAGGCTGCTGGCAACCAGCTCCGCCCCCCACCACCAACCACTCCCGGTTCCCCAATCACCATAGAGCCATCAGAGCCTGGTGGCTGGGGAAGGGACTGAGAGGTCAGCTTTTCCTGTTCGCTCACCAGCCCCCACTGCCTGACACCCTCTGTGTGTGGGGTGACTGGCAGGACTAGGGCCTTGGCCTGGAGCCACCCACATTTCTTGCCACCCATCCATAGTTCCCATTCACCATCAGGCAATCAGAGCCGGCAGTCTGGGGAAAGGAACCTAGAGGTGGTCAGTGTACCTCAAAGTGACTGGTCAAGTGGTCTTCCTGGTCATTCCCCTGTTAGGGTCAATTTGCATACTACCCTTTTATTATATAGAACATCAATATATGGAATATGTGTCTAAGTATAATATTATAATTCTGTACAGAAAGTAAGTCTGAATAACAAGTAAAATTAGTGCTTTGAGAGTTCATAGGAAAACTATTTTCAGATGTAGAGTTCATAGTAAGTATTATTTTCAGGTATGGCATGTTTATTGGAGGGAGCAAAATACCAATGAAAGCTTGATAGAAGGAGATGGAATATGGACTAGAAAACTTTTGGACAAAAGTCATGGCAGCAGGGTGTTTCATGTTGACAAAACAGGTGGTGCAATTATGAAAACCCAACTGTTTTCATTCAGATAAATTTAGGATACAAAAAGTCAGAAGTAGTACATGAATTTGTAATAAACAAATTATTTGTCATATAATTTATAGTTTTACTTAGTAAAATTATTAGGAAAATAGCTGAAACTCATGCCAGTAGATGTAGATAAACTTTTAAAACTAAAATGTTTAGGACTGATTTGAATTTTAATTATTTAAACTGATTTAAAAACAAAGAAAAGACCCAAATCATTCAGACATGGTTTCTGAAGAAGTGTTACGTATTAACAGTGAGCTAGGTTAAATGTCATTACCTCTTTGTAGGCTCATTGAAATTAAAGTTAGTTTCAAAGAGGAGGGAAACTTTCAGTGAAGATAATATGGACATAAGAGATATATATCCATCTCTTAGTAAGTATTATTTTCATGAGCACACAGTATAATAAAAACTAAGTTGAAAAATAGTAAATTACTTGAGGCCTGGTGCACAAATTCTTGCACAGATGGGGCCTGACTGGCCCACCCTAATTGGGATCAATCAGGGGTGGGCCAGCAAGGAGGAGAGGACACTGGAGGTTGGCCAGCTGGCCCCATCCCGGATCAGGGTTGGGGGGCCACCATCAGGAGCAGGGTTGGTTGGGGGGAGGGGCCTCAAGTCAGCCCCACCCCTGATCATGGTGGGAGGGTCTGATTGGGGCCGCAGTGAGTGTCAAAGCAACCAGTTCCAGTCATTCTGGTGTTCTGGTCACTTGTCTTTTATATACACTGAGTGGCCAGGTTATTATGATCCCTGTACGCATAATAATCTGGCCACTCAGTGTATATTCTAAATAATAAAAGGCTAATATGCAAATTGTCCCCTCAATCAGGAGTTGGATCAGCAGGTAGGCCAGCCAATTGCCCATGTCCCCTCCCCCTGGCTAGGCTGGCTAGACCCTACCCATGCACGAATTCATGCACCGGGCCTCTAATATATATATATATATATATATATGTGTGTGTGTGTGTGTGTGTGTGTGTGTGTGTGTGTGTGTGATGTGTGTGTGTGTGTGTGTGTATGTGTGTGTGTATATATATATATATATATATATATATATATATTCACTGAGTGACCAGATTATTATGTGCTCAGAGATAATAATAATCTGGCCACTCAGTGTATATAGATATTGCTGAGTTTAACATAAAGATGTGTACTGCATTCAGTTTTAAGCACAAATCTTAAAAAGTATATGAATACTTCAAGAAAATTTATAACTAGTGAATATTTATAAGATCTCCAAGTTTTATTATTTTATATTGGATAGATAAAATAGACAACATTATAGGCAGGTAAATATATACACACACATATATACACATAGATCCACAGAAATTTATACAAGCAGCATAGCACATGCAAGTTATTTATGCATGGGAATTTTAAATGTAAACAATTATAGTTCCATTTCTTGGTTCTTTTTCTCTAAAACTATATCTACATTTAAAAATGTTACAATAAGTTTTAGTATGTCCACTGTATTTCAATTTTTTATAATTTGTATGTTTTAAATTTTATCTGCAATATTGACCCATATATAAAAGCTAGCAATAAGGAAATGTCTATGTTTTTTACTGTGCTCTACATATACTGAAATTAAATAGCAAACAATAAATTCTATTGTACAAAATAAAACACACATTTTGTTAATGTCCCCTCTATAGGGATTTTGAAAAAACTTCTTAGTCATTGGATGGTAATAATGTATTATGTGTTGTGTTTTTTTAAATCTAAGTTTAAGGAATTGCAAAAGATAAACTATGGAATATTACACACACTGACATTTTAAAATAAAACTGTTATATCCTTCTTAAAATATATCATATCACCCAAATACCATAAAGATCTGTACAACCACACCATTGTGAAAAACAATGTATCAATAAAGCTCTTATTTTACATTCAGAAACTTTGTGTTGTTTTATCCTTGAAATCATATTAACATTGCACTTCCTCTATAAAAATCTTAGGATGAGATATTTTATATTTGAAAATTTCACTAATCACATTAGTGTGTGCTTCTGTGACAAAATGTTTACCTAAATTGGCATCATTTTTATAAATATTCTGTCATAACAAATCTATAAGTGCTAAATTTTCTTATTTTATTACCAATTATAAATATTAGCAGTAATTAATTAATCAAAGCACCAGCATCATACTTTATAAATTGCAAAAAAAGAATTCAATTTACCTGAAGTGTAAAAAATTATCAGAAGTATATTACTAAATGAAATGGATAAGTTATGTTTTTTGCTTCTTCATTTGGTTTTATACCTGTATATATTACTTATTCCTGGCATAGTCAAAACATGACACCAATTCGATTTATTTTTTATCATTTTATAGATGTAAGTGCTGAGTAACTTCTTCGTGAACATAAATAGATAATAATTGAGTTTTGCTATAGAAAATGTCTCAAGTCTTTGTATTCTGAGTTCTCTGATAACTAGATTAGGGCATCTTTGTTGAAAACAAAAAAATTGAAAATCATCTGAATCAAAAACAAGTGGATACCTAGTCATTAATAATAATAATTTTCTTAACATTGACAGCAATATTGTAACTTTTTACATTGTTAAACCTATGGGTATTTACACCACTAGACAACCCTAACATAATGAGTGATAAGGAAACTTTTTTTCTGTAAAATGAGAGAACGGTGAAAGAGAAGTGAGGAACCAAGATGATGCCGGATCCTGATACTCATTCTCACTCACACAAATGAATAGACAGAATATACATGGTATTTGAGGGTGTGGAATTTGCTTCACTTAAAATGACCTATACCTCTGTATCCATTTGAAAGTGCTGAGGGACTTCCTAGATATCATTTTTCTAATTATCTTTTTTTCATTACCATTCTGTATTTAGCAGTTATTTTTCCTCAACTTTTTTTTTTTTTTGAATGGCAATGGACATAATAGGAATGGGAGCAATAATGTCAGGTGTAGGAAGAGAAAAAATGGCGGCCAAAGAGGCAGACCTGTTGTGCACCTCCCCCTACTCTTAGAAGCACTGTATGCCAACCACACCCTGAATTTGGACTTTTTCAGAGAAAACAAAAGCAAAGGCCAAGCCTGTGGATTTAAACAGTCTCAGGAACTCTCAGTGATTGGATTGGGATAGGAACTGTCCATCCCACTATTCTTGGAACCAGACTGGTACTTTCCCCACAGAGAAGAATTGATGAAAACTCCAGGCCAACCCCACTGATCGCAATGCAAGGATCTCTGTCAAGCCAAGGGCAGAGTAATATTTTGGGCCACTTAATGAGTAGTAGCTCTAGGAGAAGGAAAGACACCCTCCATATTTCCTGAAAGCTAAACAGCACCTCCTCTGCCTAAAGCATTTGAGAAGCAAACTTTTTAGTGATTAAGATTAACAGCTGGCTGGTAGGCAGAGGTGGACCCTAAAGAACCAGGCGAAGTTTGCTGACCCAGCCCTGGGCTCCATGCTGCTAACAAATCTACTTTATTTTTTTTAAATATATTTTATTGATTTTTTACAGAGAGGAAGGGAGAGAGATAGAAAGCTAGAAACGTTGATGAGAGAGAAACATCAATCAGCTGCCTCTTGCACACCCCCTACTGGGGATGTGCCCGCAACTCAGGTACATGCCCTTGACCAGAATCGAACCTGGGACCTTTCAGTCCGCAGGCTGACGCTCTATCCACTGAGCCAAACCGGTTTCGGCTAACAAATCTACTTTAGAGAGCAGATTGGCCCCTCCTGCTTTCAGCCAAGGCCTGTAAAGATAGACACAAGCAGTGGATCAGTGATCACTTGGTTGCTGAACTAATGCCACTTCACTTATTATCTGAGAGATACAAATTAAAATGACAGTGAATTATCAGAATGTCTATCATCAACAAATCAACAAACAACAAGTGTTGATGAGGTTGTGAAGAAAAGGGAACTCTGATTCACTCCTGGTGGGAATGCAGACTGGTGCAGCCACTGTGGAAAACAGTACAGAGTTTCCTCGATAAATAAATAAATAAATAAATAAATAAATAAATAAATAAATAAAATGGAACTCCCTTTTGATCCCACTTCTAGGACTGTATACCAAGAAATCAGAATCACCAATCAGAAAGAATAGCCGAAACCGGTTTTGCTCAATAGATGGAGCGTCGGCCTGTGGACTGAAAGGTCCCAGGTTCAATTCTGGTTAAGGGCATGTACCTTGGTTTTGGGCACATCCCTAGTAGAGGGTATGCAGGAGGCAGCTGATCA